TTTTTTTTTTTTTTTTTTTTGTAATAATTAGTGGTTTTGGGATAATTATATATTGTAGATATAACTTATTAAGTTATATTCCTTTTAATTAAGTTTAAAATAAAAATAATTTTAGGGTTTTAATCGACCTTTTTCAGATATTTTATAAAATATTAAATTCCATAAGTTATAAAATTTGATGTCAAAGCCAAAGGTCAGATATTTTATTAAAATATAATTTCATAAAAAAATCAATGTGCTTTTGTACTATATGTGGTAGTAAAGTAAGCAATGACACAACTTTTCCTTTTTTTTTCTTAAGAAAAAGTAATATTTAATGATATCACATATTCCATAAATAAATATATTCATATAAATTATTCAACCACCAACGTCGCCACGATATGTGTTTCCCCTAGATACTATTGAAGGTATGAGAAATTCTACGTGGGTGAAAAGGGAAACAAAATATTCCTTAAGAGTGTGAAAACCTCTCCCTAGTAGACGTTTTAAAATCGTGAGTCTAATTGCAATAGACAAAGGAGATAGTATGTGCTAGCGGTTGACTTGGCTGTTACCAGGTACTTGTCTCATACATCCAACAATAGTGATAAAGACTGAGGTTGTTTGGGGACATAGTCCAAACCCAATTGCTAGAGATGTTCATTTAACCTACGAGGGACTCGCTCTGATTCCCACAAAAATTAATGAGATATTACGCTGGGATATTGAACTAGGAGCTGGTTTCCCCGTCTCGCCTCACTTGTAACATCTCTACCAATGTTAGTTGTATTGTACTAGACATAAACTCGAGGGTACTTGTCTCATACATCCAACAACAGTGATAAACATTCTGATCATTCGAGAGACAATGTCAAAGCTTGATGTCTGTCACATTATATGTGTTCCCTAATAAGATCCCACGTTAGTTAGAGAGGAGAACAAAATATTCCTTATAAGAGTGTAGAAACCTCTCCCTAGTAGACGCGTTTTAAAATCTTGAGTCTAATGACGATAAGTAACGAAACATAGGGGACACTATCTGTTAGCGGTGAGCTTGGGCTATTACGGTGTACTTGTCTCATACATCCAACAATAGTGATAAACCCAGAGGTTGTTCAGGAGATATGGTCCAAACCCAATAGCTAGAAATGTCCATTTAACCTAGGAGGGACTTGCTCTGATTCCCACAAAAATTAATGGGAAGTTACGTTGGGATAAATATTGAACTAGGAGTCGGCTTTCCCGTCCCGGCTCACTTGTAACATAGACATAAACTCGAGGGTAGTTGGCTTATACATCCAACAACAGTGACATACACTCAGATTGTTCGAGAGACATTGTCAAAGCTCGATGTCTGTCACATTATAACAGTCTCACCGTGTAGAGTGTGGTTATGTGGCGAAGTTAGTTGTTTGACCAATAATAATGGGTTGCACTTCACAAGATAAAAGAAAGGATCTTTAGACGAGAAAAAGCAAAGGCATTTTGCAAAAGAATAGGCATAATAAAAACAAAAAAACCACCAATAATGGTGAGATAATATTAATTTATTCCCTCTTTTTTTGTTACATTTTGGGAATGGGGAGACATGATGGGAATTTGGGACATCATTTTGTACAACAACATGGGACAAGTCGACCTCTTTTCTTAGTTGTTCTATTATTTTACCTCAATTGTTTTTTGAGTTTGTGTGGTGTGGTGAGCATTAACGTTTGTGTCCCTCATTTTCTTTTATCTTTTGCTTGCTTTTTTCATGTGACTTTCTATTTGCTTTCAACAAGTGTTCACTTGTTGAGTGATTGAAGAGATAATGGATGGGCACATCCAAAATGCCTCAAAAGTAAATAGTTTTACGCTCGAGTAATCACCTTTGTGTTTCAATCTCGATCGTTGGTTGTTCACAATGTCTTTTATCTAGTATTGTCGCTCGTGTTGTGTGTCTTTGTGAATATGAACAATTTTACGTTAGGGTTTGGACTTTCGAGTAATGATCTTTGTTATTTGAGTTGTGTGTCTTTTGTGAATATGAACAGGTTTACGTTAGGGTTTGGACTTTCGAGTAATGACTTTGTTGTTTGAGTTGTGTGTTTTTGTGAATACGGATAGGTTTATGTTAGGGTTTGGACTCGATGGTTGGTTGTTCACAACATCTTTTATCTAATATTGTTGCTCGAGCTCTGTATCTTTGTGAATAAGGTCAATTTTACGTTAGGGTTTGGACTTTCGAGTAATGACCTTTGTGTTTTCAATCTCGTTGGTTGGTTGTTCACAACTTCGTTTATCTAATATTGTTGCTCGAGTCGTATCTTTGTGAATAAGGACAATTTTACATCAGGGTTCGGTATTTGAAGTAATTAACCTTTGTTCGCAATCTCAATAGTTGTTCACTACGAAATATTGTTGCTCGAGTTGTATCTTTGTGAATAAGGACAATTTTACATCAGGGTTCGGTATTTCAAGTAATTAACCTTTGTTCTCAATCTCGATAGTTGTTCACAACTTCGTCTATCTAATATTGTTGATCGAATTGTGTTTTTGTGGATAAGGACGATTTTACGTTAGGGTTCGAAATTTCGAGTAATTGACTGTTGTTTTCAATCTTATTCGCATTCTTTTTTTAATATAATATTGTTGTTTGAGTTGTGTGTATGTTAAATTCGAAAGACATGTTTGATTGGACTAACTATGACTTATTCAGTTTGACTCTAAATCATCAGGATAATAATTAATTTTATATTAACTCGTTTAAATCAGAAAAACGAAGATATTAAGAATTTGTTAATTATAAAGTGAATTTTGCTTTAATTAATAATAATCCATTATTAAAGTTGAGGATAAATATTTATACATTAAAAATAATAAAAGATAAATTACTTCCATATAGTCTTTTTAGAAATAATTATTCATAGGAGAACGACCACTAAAAAAAGTCAAATGATATATATTTAAGACACGTGGGCTTTATAATCATAGTGGCTGAAAGGCTTCTAGAATTGGACAAAAACATTCTACATTAAATATTTAACAGATGTTCCAAAAAAAAAAAAACATGTAACTATCCAATATATATATCGACTTTCTTACCTAGATGTTATAAAAAATGTTTTGCCCGTAGTTTTTTTTTTTGAACTTCTCTGTAAGGTTTTTAAAACGCATCTGATAAGGAAAGATTTTTACTCTCTTATAACGAATTCGTTCACCTCTCCAATCGAGGTACGATCTTACAATCCACCCATTTCGGGGTCCAGCGTCCTCACTGGAACTTGTTCCCCTCTCCAATCGATGTGAGATCTCACAATCCACCTCCCTTCTGAGCCCAGGGATCTCGTTGACACTCGTTCCTCGCTTTCATCGATGTGGGATCTCATGATCCACTCACTTCAGAGACTAACGTCATCGCTGACACACCGCTTAATGTCCACCTTTCGAGGCTTAACATACTCGCTAGCGTACCGTCCATTGTCTAGTTCACAGTAAAAGAATATTTTAAAAATGTATTTAACTATATTTTTTTAATTCAAATAATTTTTAAAAATAAAATAAAATAAAATATATTTTGATCTCTCCTCCTATCTTTCTCCTTACTCCCATCAATTACCAAATATTAATTAATTTATATTTGTTTGATTGGATTGATTACAGCCGTCTGATCATACAGCTATGTTTTTTTTCTCACCAAATTCACGTGCTCAATGACCAGTAATATCTATCCTAAAAGGCTAAAATACCAAATAAATTAATAAAAATAAAAATAAATAAATAAGAAACTAAAATTAATAATATCCCCAATCCGTGCACGCATCTACATGTGTTAATCTTATCTGCCGACACGCGCTCCATTTCTCGCGTGTATTTCACACACTCACACTCTAACACGATGAGTTGCTTTGACCAAGATGATTTAGAATTATGGTTGGAAGACTATTTATTAAATTATTTATTTTAGGGTGAATTATAGAATATAATTTCCATTTTTATATTTTTTTTTATAAAAATATCTTTAAAATTTTTAAAGTTTATTTAAATTTTACGAGCCTACCACTATCGGATAGGGTCTTTTTCCTTCAGACTTTTTCTCAAAGTTTTTAAAACGCGTATGCTAGGGAGATGTTTCCAAACTCTTATAAATAATAGTTCGTTCACCTTTCTAACCAATGTGGGATCTCACAATCCACCTCCTTCGAGGTCTACCGTCCTCCCTAACACTCGTTTCTCTCTCTAATCGATATGAGATTTTACACCTATATTCAAGCTTATGGGTAGATTAACGAGTCAATGGATTCATTCCCACGTGTGTGAACCACATGTAGAAAAACAGTCCACCCTACTCAAGAAAATAGAGTCTAAATGATAGTTATAGAAAATTACGTCTACCAATTTTGCCATAAAGTTTGAACTTTTTATAATTTAATATTTATTTTGTTTTTTCTTTTAAGATTTATAATTAAAGAAAAAAGAAACACTTGTCATAATTAAATATTGCCTTTATAAGTGTGTAAATAATTCGGGTATAAT